CCCGCTGTCTGTCCCACTGTCTGCCCCACAGGCTGTGCACTGCCCGTCCATCATCTGGCAGGCGCCCAAAGGCCAGCCGCCGGTGCCTCACGAGATGCCGTCGTCGATGGAGTACCAGGAGGTGCAGCCGACCCAGGCGGTGACCTGGCAGGCCCCGAAGGCCCCCACTCACTTCTGGCAGCCCCTGCCAGCCCAGGAGGCCCAGAGGCAGGGCCCCCCCCTGGTCCAGCTGGAGCAGCCCTTTCCGGGAGCCCCGCCCTCCCAGAAAGCCCTGCAGATCCAGCTACCCTCCCAGCAGGCCCAGCCCTCGGGCCCGCAAGCAGAGCTGCCCCAGCTGCAGCTCCAGTCCTCGTGGCAGGCCCCACCGGCAGTCTTGCAGGCGCAGCCCGGAGCCCCCGTAGCGGCAGCAAATTTTCCCCGGGGCTCTGCTAAGTCACTGATGACTCCGTCAGGAGATTCCAGGGCCTCTTCTGTAGAGGGCAGGGCCACTTCCAAAGAGCGTAGGACCTCTTCGAAGGATCGCAGGGCCCCTCCAAAGGACCGCATGATCTTTGCTGCCACCTTCTGTGCTCCCAAGGCAGTGTCACCTGCCCGAGCACACCAGCCAGCGGCCTGGAAAAACTTGCCTGCCACATCGGAGACCTTTACTGCCACCCCAAGGGTCTTCCCAGCTACCTCCCAGTTTCAGCCTGCCTCTTCTAATGCCTTTAAAGGCCCATCTGCCACCTCAGAGACCCCGAAGTCACTGCCATTTGCTCTGCAGGATCCATTTGCCTGTGTGGAGGCCCTGCCTGCCGTTCCCTGGGTCCCGCAGCCCCATGTGAATGCTTCACAGGCAGTGCCCACCATCCTGATGGCCACAGCAGCTGCCCCCCAGGCAACGGCCGCGGTTCCCGAGGCCTCGAAGACCTCCCTCGAGCCGCCACGCCGCTCAGGCAAAGCCACGCGGAAGAAGAAGCATCTGGAAGCCGAAGAAGACAGCCGGGGCCATGCGCTGGCCTTCCGTGACTGGCAGGGCCCACGGGCCTGGGAGAACCCGAATGTGAGTGGCTGGGAAGTCCAGAGCCCTCTCCAGGTCTTGGGTGACCGGGCGTGCCCAAACGCTCCCCATAGCCTGAGTGGCTGGGAGGGCCCTAGAACCTCCAGGATCCTGAGTGGCTGGGAAGGGCCCAGCACATCTTGGGTCTTGAGTGCCTGGGAGGGTCTGAGCACCTTGAGGGCCTGTGGTCTCTCTGAAGTCCCAGGGAGCCCTCAGCCCTTGACCACTTCTGAGGTCCCAAGTGTCACTCAGGGACCCAGTGCCACCCAGGATGGTCCCAAGGGGGAGGCTCAGCCTTTGTCTCCCTTGAATGAGAGAGCAAACACATTGGTGCAGTTCCCCTTGGTCAAGGACCAAGCCAAGGTGCCCCTCCAGCGCTCGGAGATGGTGAAACTCATCATCCGAGAGTATAAAGACGAGTGCTTAGATATCATCAACCGTGCCAACAATAAGCTGGAGTGTGCCTTTGGTTATCAATTGAAGGGAATTGATACCCAAAACCACGCTTATATGATCATCAACAAGCTGGGGCAGCCTAAAAGTGAGGCAGTGGCATCCTTGTTAGACAAGCCCAAGTTAGGCCTGCTGATGGTTGTCTTGAGCCTTATTTTTATGAAAGGAAATTGTGTCAGGGAGGATCTGATCTTCGACTTTTTGTTCAAGTTAGGGTTGGATGTCCGGGAGACAAGTGGTCTCTTCGGAAATACGAAGAAGCTCATCACTGAAGTGTTCGTAAGGCAGAAGTACCTAGAGTGCAGGCGCATCCCCTACACTGAGCCAGCGGAATACGAGTTCCTCTGGGGCCCTCGAGCATTCCTCGAAACCAGCAAGATGCTCGTCCTGAGGTTTTTGGCCAGGCTCCATACGAAAGATCCACGGTGCTGGCCATTCCATTACCTTGAAGCGCTGGCAGAGTGTGAATCCGAAGACGTAGACGAGGATGAGCCTGAAGCTGGTGACAGTGCCGGCAGCTCCACCAGCAGCCCCCGTCCCCACTAATGTGTGTGTGTGGCAAACATCTCTCATTCATTTGGCTCCTTGGCCAGAGGCCACTGGCAGGGTTGGGGGGGACATTTCGTTTCTGGTGTTTATGTTCTGGCTTCACGTGTGTAAGTTTGGATTTCCAATTTTGTTGCATATCTGCCAAAGCTTTGTACATTCTCATGTGGTGTTGATTTCAGTCCGCTACTGTTCCGTTTCGTATTTTGGCATCAGTATTTTTAAGTGAGATCTGTGGCTTTCTGTTTTGTGTTATAATTGTTTTGTTTTGGTATCAGAGTTGTGCTAGCTTTGTGAAATGAATTGAGAAGCTATCCATCTCATTCTGGTACAGTTTATGTAGCATTGTAATCAGTTGTTCTTTGAACGTTAAAATGATTTGTCAGTAAAAACTGTCTACAGAAAAGTAAATATATCTATATATCTATATCTATATCTATATATATAAATATACTTTCAGCATAACATGGGAGTGCTTGTCTTTACTCTAGTTTTTACTCTGGATGGTAGAAGCCACACTTTGTCACACCCTCTGAACAAGCTTGAATGCCAGGACTACTTACTACCAGTGATAGTAAAAGCCATGGTGATGGAGCTGTTTTATGAGGAGAGTGCTCCATTCATCCTTATAATGACACAGTGATTGTGGTGGGTGGTAAAACATGAAATTTCCATTAAATCAAAAGTAAAACTTCGCGAGTCAGTGAGGCTGAATCAAGAAGGCGTCGTACACCTCATCTGATTCAATCCTTGCAATAATCATTCCAAGTAGGCATTATTATTCCCATTCTGAAGGTGAAGGTGTAAGGTTTAAGGGGATTAATTAAATAGTGCCAAACCAGAAAGCTGTCATTTGAAGCAGGAAATGTCCTTAAGCATATGTGGGGAAGGAGAGTCATCTGCCAGCAGGACCAAAAATATCGGGGTTCGTCAGCTTTGTGGAAAAATTGGTCAAAATGGCGTTTGTCAGTCATGTGGCCCATAGGGGGTGTCCGGCAGCTCAGAAACGGGTTTCATCAATACACTGGTACTGTGATGCAAACATTATTTCTGCAAAATATCTAAGCTTATAATAAGAAAAATGAAAAAAACAAAATAACAGGCTTCGTTAAACTAGGAATCCTGCAGATTACAGGTAGTGGCTGGGTTAGGATAGGGATGGTGGGTGGGAGACTCCTAGCAACAGGGAGGTCTGGGGAGAGCTCTTTAGGGAAAGGATCAATCCTGACATATAAGGAAAATCAGCCGAAAATACTTGAAGTTGCAAAATACCCAGTCAGCTCTTAGGTACGGGGTCTGGTGTGGAAAGAAAGAAGACAAGGGAGTAGGTGGGCTTGAGTGTTTGGGGAAAGATATTCACGCACATACCAAGCTTGTGTATGTAAAGCACTTTCCTGAGGTCGTACTCTTTCGTGGACTGGGCCTGTCTAAATCAAGAGACTGGACCCCTTATGCCCCTTCTCAGATAAAGCCGAAATCCCAAATGAGGTTAGTAGCGACAGTGGAATTCTGCTACCACCTAGTGGCAGACTCATGGTGCCACCACAACTGCAGCTGCAGCAGCCCCTCCGGTGGTGCTTAAATTCACTCCCCAGACACTTGGGTGTGGCCAATACTTGCTTCATAACTTTTGCCTGTAATTTTACCTATATCTGTGCCCAAATTTCTCTCTCATATCATAGGCCAAGGTGAAGCCCCCCCTTCTTTTTTTTCCAAATATAATCCAAGCTTCTTTCCGTGGTTTGTGTCCTTGGTCTGTAGCACTGTCACTTAGGAAGCTGTCTACAAGAGGAACTCACAAGATGCGGAGTCTGTTCCGAGCACCTGCAGAGCTGAGCTATGTGCCAATTAGCCCTGCCCCAGGACCTGCTCAGCAACAGGTGATCTTCTGCACGTTTTCCAAGTAGCCAGGTCCTCTAGAAACTCAGAGGGAGTTTCTGGTAAGTTCCCTGGGTCAGAGAGTCCTACATATCTTCCCACAGTCTTTATTATTATGACAGCAACAACAACAGCAACAGATAAACTCTTTGAAGGAGATAGCAAAGTTCTAGGGGTGAAATACCACAAAGGAGATTTAGTGGGGCTGGTGAAGTGGCACATGCGTCTAGTATTTCTTGTTTTGGTTTTTTTTTTAATTTATTTATGATTGTTTATATAGTTCTCAGCAAAACATTTACTCATGGAGAGCTTAAGCAAGATGTTCTTTGTGAAACAACATTTGAAAAGTAGTGTCATGTGATCTTGGTGCTGTACTAATCGTGTGAGTGGCTCTGCTCCCTGGGGGAAAGGCTCACTTCCTATTTACAAAACTCGCTGTCAGTATCTCACTCATCTCACATCTGATATACATTCATTCAGTAACCTTCCTTAAGTAATGCCGAAGGCAAAGAGATGAATTTGATTACACTGTAATGAGATGTACATTACAATAAAAAAATTTTAAAAGTATTACAAAGAAATAAATTAAATTAGCCAAATATTTAACTGAAGGGTTTAAGAAAGAATAGCTAACATTATGAAAGCAGAAGGCATAAAACAAATATAGGAAAACACAGGAATATAGGAAAATACAGTCCATAAATCAGTGAAAGCGAATTCAAATCCCAATTATTTGAGCATGCAAAAATGTAATACAAGGCTTTTTTGCTGTAAAGCAGATAAAAATAACCATTTAAAATAAATAAATAAGGAAAAGGTGTCACGACAAAAAAAAAGAAATACAAATGGCAAATAACTATTAAAACTGTTACACCTCACTAATATTTAAAGATAGAAAGATTAGACCTGTATTTCAGTTTTCATTTATTAGATTGTCATCGCATAAAATGAAACTCATGACAGATAGATCCAGTAAAAATGAGGTTGTTATGAAACTGGAATCATTATACACAATCGGTGGAAGTATAAATTACTACAATGTCCCCTGAAATCAACTCAGCCAACTACACCTTCCAGAGGTTTAAGCAAATTTATACTATTTTACTATAAATTCATCACATGGGAATATACTCAATGGGAAGAATCTGCAATAAAGGCAATAATGTCTTCTCAAAAAGAGCTGCTTGTGCAAGGGCAGCAGATCAATTAGGATATGTGCACCCTCCTGCAGTACAACCATTCTTATGCCAAGGAGGTCTAGTGAGTTTCGGCTGAAAGCACCACAGTCTTTCTCAGAATGCAACTTGCAATCTGTTCCAACACATGGAAAATGAAAGACTGAGCATCCAGAATTATGTGTAGAGCAAAGTGATTGCGATCTAAGTGATAAACGGGTGCTGGTAAACTCCCGCCAAAATCTTACAATGACCTCAGTCAAGGTCATGTCATATGAAGCCCTTTGATTCCTAGAAAGGAGAAACTGCAAACCTATTCAGTTCTTGAAGTGAATCCAGTCTACTGCTGCATAGGGTGTTCAATTGTAAGCATGCGAATATTGTAGCATGTTTACCTTAAAAAGTCTATCTGGATTTTGGAATACATTTTCGCAAAACTCTCCTCCTAAAGAGCAACAGAGAAAAGAGCCAGTTGCTTGTCAGAGCCACCACATAAACCAACCGTGTCAGCAAAGAAGAGTTAATAATCATGGCTGTGATCCCTGGAGAACTTTCTTTCTAGATGAAGGTTCTGAGTCCCTGTGTCCTCAGTAGTACCCATTTCAGTGAACATGCAGCCCACATTATTAATTTGCCTTCAGAGTTATGGGCACACCCACAACTCAGCATCTTGGTACTGACATAATACTCTCGAGGATACAGGTCCTGCAACCCTGAACCTATCTGCCTGAGTTGAAAACTTGGTAACATTCTCCCTTATATCCCTTATATTCTGCCACCTTGTACAGGCAGTGTTTTCCCTTATTTTCATTCTGTGGCTATTGCTTTCTGCCTGAACTTGGCAGCTTCCTTTTTCATGGTCTATGCCTTCAGTACCACTCCTTAATCAAAAACTTTGGCTGCCTGGTGCCCTCTGTGTCACCTTGACAAATACATTATTGTTCAAAGCCTTTCATGACTTTCAATATTCACTGCACTGAGATGTAGCCCTTCTCAACTTACTTTCCTCACCATAAGGGTCAAGGAGCAGCCAGTTAGTAGTGTGTTTACCTACGTAGGAATCTACAAATGAAGCCAGGGGTCCCTCTGCTGGACATTTTAAAGAATTCCAAGGGTCTGAATTGAAAACCTAGGCATGTTAATGAGAAGGGTACTAAAGAGAAGTCCCTGATATTAAGGGTCAAAGTTACATTTCTTTCCCGTGTGTACGCAATTTCCTTCTTCCAAAGCTCCCAGTGGGACCCATGTTGAATTCCATGAAGGGATCTATACGGCACTACTAGTCCAATAGTCCAATCTTCTAATCCTTTGAGATTCTGAAAATTACAGCTGCCCTTTCTGTTTAAGAGATGACAACTATGGGGAACCTCCTTCATCATCAGAGTCCTCTGCTTTTTCTTAGTGTCACTAAATAAATGATCCTTTGTCAGTGGGTTACCCTTCTCTGTGCAAATGTTGTCGCTCTGGAAACTGCCAATTCATCTCCAAGTGAGTCTCCCTTTCTGTGCTGTCATTTGCTCAGAGTTAAATCACCTTATGAACCACTGTTAACAGAGAAATTGTTGGCATTCAGTCCACTGACATCAGCACAGAAGCATTTCCTAGACCTAGAAGACTTTCCTGGAGCATGCTCTGTAATGGCTCAGAATCTTTCTCTGAAATAGAGCTGAGTGGGGCCACAAAACTGTGGAATATGAATATTGGATTTTGTTAGCTTCTGTGAGGCAGCCTTAAAAACATTCTATTTTGAAATAATTGAGCCAGGGTCGGTGGCTCAGCCTGTAATCCCGCGCCTTTGGGAGGCTGAGGTGAGTGGATTGCCTGAGCCCGCGGGTTCGAGACCCGCCTGGGCAGGTGAGACCCCATCTCTACAATAAATCAAAAAATGAGCCGGGCATGGTAGCGCGCGCCTGTAATTCCGGCTCCTCGTAATTCCGGCTCCTCGGAAGGCTGAGGCAGAAGGATCGCCGGAGCCCAGCAGGTCGAGGCTGCGGTGGCCGGGAGCGGCCACTGCACTCCAGTATGGACAACAGAGTGAGACTCCAACTCAAAAAAAAAAAAAAGAAAGAAAAGAAATAATTGTAGGTTCACGAGAAGTTACATATATTATCCAAGACAGTCTCATGTTCCCAGAGTTGAGTTTTCCCCAATTTTTATAGTTTATATAACTGTACTACAAGATGAAGAACATGGGTATCAGTACCATGTGAGTCTAGCTCATGCCATCTTATCACAAATGTAGACAGACAACCATCCCTGCCATGAAGATACAGGACTGTTCTATCACCACAAAGATTTCTCTTGCTCTACCCCCTTTGTAGCCATGTCCATCCCTTTTCCCTCCATTCCTAACCTCTGTCAATCATTACTCTTTTCTCCACCTCTGTGTTTTATATTTTTCACTTCAGGAAT